GGGATGGGGAATCAGGGATGGCAAAACAAAAGGCAAGGTATGCAGGACATAAGAATTGGAAAATTATTTGCTGAGAACATGTATGTTGATGTGCTTGATTGAGCCAATGCACAGTGTATTTTGGATGGAAAATTCATTTGTGTGTTGTGATGGTGTATAGTGAATTAATGTAGAAAATGAATAAATTTAAAAAAAAAAGAAAAGAAAGCAATATTTAAGGAACCAGCAGTTAGCGTAATGACTATGTTGCTGGACTCCCACATAGTCGACCGCGGTTCACATCCCGGACCCGGTGGCTTAAAACTCACACCGGGCACTTGTGCGTGCGTGCCCAAGATCCTGAGAGGAGAATGGAGGAGAAGGGATTGCGGTGTGGCCATCCCCCCTGGGGGGTGATTTCTCGCTTTCTGTCTCTATGTCTGTCTCTGTCTGTCTGGCGAGCGCACGCGCCCTATAGCGAAAACCTCTCCAAAAAAAAAAAAAATATTTAGTAGATGTTCAGACCACATACATCTACTAGAGTTCCTTACAGATAGTTGCTCGTTTCCTTGCTTTAAATGTTACATTGCTAGGGGACTAGCAGTTAATGTAATAGCTGTGTCACTGGACTCCCATGTAGTCTACCGTGGTTCGCGTCCTGACCCAGTGGCTTAAAACTCAGGCCGGGCATGTGTGCTTGCGTGCCCAAGATCCCAAGAGGAGAATGGAAGAGAAGGGATTGCAGCATGGCCATCCCCCCTGGGGGGGGGGGGATTTCTTGCTTTCTGTCTCTCTGTCTCTCTCTGTCTGTCTGGTGAGTGCACAAGCACTATGACGGAAACATCTCAAAAAAATTTTAATTTTACATTGCTACATGGTGAAAATCACAAGGTTTATGATAGGATAAAGGAGAGAAGAGGAGTGCTCTCTCATCAGTTTATGACTGACTTTTCTAATATTTGTGTTGTAGAGGCCATTGAAAATGCCATCTCACTTCAAAAATGAACCGTGGTGAAAGCTTCAAAAATGAACCGTGGTGAAAGCTAAGGTATCTCTTCAGAGAAAACAAACACTGTATAAGAAACTGGCTCAAGTCACCATCTGTGTAGGTGTCTGAGAAGACAGGCAGCATAAAAAAAATTCAAGAATGCTCTCTGAAAATCAAATCTTGGTTCATGGAAGTATCAATAAAACATTCCAAAGTAATCTCATCAGAACACATTGTAAACGTAGTTTGAAAAAATTATTTAGAACAGCTGAAGTAACAGAACAGTAATGCAAGTCTCTGCAATGTTGAAGCCCCCTAAGAAGGTCCTCGCTTTGCATCAAAAAGTCTTCCTGTACACACTGATCTCAGGCATATGCCCATGGTTCTGGCTGGATGAAACTGTGGGTAGATCAGAGCAAAGGCTCTCTTGGGTCTTCAAATTAGAGGGAAAGATGGTACAGAGAATTCATATAGGTGAGCAGGTGGTCAGGTCTGTGACTTTTGGGTGCCTCCCCATCTTTCTCTGAATGAATGAATGAATAAATATTTGAAAACCCTTTTGACAGCAATTTGTTTTGAGTCCTAAGAGAACAGTTTTAAAGGAAATGCCAAAACCTGACAGGGCTGAGTGACAACACAGAGGTCTTTTCTAGAGAATAGGCCTATTCTAGAGAAACTCAAGTCTTACACCAGGAGGAGTCCCATTATTTTTCTTCCAGGGGCCCCTGACTGGTTCATAGCCAGTATAAAACAGACAGAGAACCTCCAATGTGGTGTGGTCACACTACAATTCCTTCTCCTTATTTCTCTATCCTCTTGGGATTTGGGCATGCACCCAGTGTGTTTTTCTAGCTGCTAGGGCCATGGGACCATGATGGCATCCAGTTCCCTTAACCACTAGGCCACTGTGTTAGCCATGAGAATCACTGCAATTCTAATACAAATGCAAACACAAATTTTTGTGGTCTTGACAAGCTTAATAGAGCTTTATATTCTCTGCTTAATTCATTCATTTGCTTCTCACCTAAGGTCGGATGAGGTACTGTGCATGGTTGAGGCAATGGTGAGCTGCCTCATATAGGTGGGAGGGTCAAACATGGCCTGTGACCACAGGGACAATGACTGTAGTCAGAGAAGTGGGCATGACGGCCATGCTTAGCTGCATGTGTAACGGACAACTGAGCATTGAAATGTGGGAGGGGATCTTTATATTGGCAGACCAGAAAAAGGCCATCAAAGGCCTCATGGAAGGAGGACGAGTGGAAAGGGTGGGACTGGCCATTACACTGTACTTGGGCTTGGGCCATTCACCAGGAAAATGGAATATAGTTGCAGAATGGTCAGACCCTGAGATGAGAAACACAAAACAGTGTGCTCGCTCTGTCCTGAAAAAAGAAACATGTGACCACAATTGGTGTGATCAATTGACATGATCCCTAAACATGTCTCACAGTCTCCTGCTATCTCAACAGGTACAAAAGCTTTAGCAAATGCTTATCCACCCCTCTGGTGACTGTTTCCTTAATAAATACATGGAGAATCGGCCAGCCTGGGCCACACTCCTCTGAGATTGTGAGTCCCCTGGTCTTCCCATCAGATATCATTGCCCCTCTTGTGTGTCTCATCTCACTCACATTCCCATAGGTCCTACATTTTGGCTGTGCTGGATGCAGCAGCACAGTAAATAGGAAACATGGCCCCCCTGAGTTTCACCTGTAAAGATTCCTGAGAAAATTGAGGCACCTGCGCTGTGAATGGACCTGTTCTGGATGTTGGATTGGGAACATGGATGCTCTGGTGCCATGGGGAGGCAGACAATAAGAAATGTAAATAAATAATCTTAGAAATATAGAGGCAAAGGGGGATACAGAGAGGAGGCAGACAAGGATGTGACTTTTGGGTGGAGATAGAGATGATGACTGGTGAGCCATGAAGACACTCAGCAAATGCCTTCCAAGCTAAGAATATGATGGTGGTAAGAGTTTCTGTGGTTGAGCAAAGTGAATCGAAAATCCGGAGGGCTTGGAGTACTGTGAGGCCTGGAGGCCTTGGAGTACAGGGGCATGGCCACATTGGGGGCATGGCCATGCTGCAGTCTCTCTGTTCTCCTCTGAGGATTTTGGGAATGCATGCACACATGTCTGGTGTGTTTCCCAGGCCACAGGGTCCAGAACTTGAACAGTGCAGTCAGCCATGTAGGATACAGCACTATAGCCACTGTGTCACCTGCTGGCCTGGTCATTTTCTTCTTATTCAGACTTGTTTTGTCTATTAGAAGTTGACTTCATATAAGAAGAGAAAAGCAGCTTGCAGAGACACTGGCTGTATGTAGGAGGACAAATGTCAACTTATCAATAGGTTTAGTGCTGCTAAAAAGGAGTATACAGTCACCTTTACAGAGTGCCATGCAAGAGGAGGAGTCTTTAAATAACCCTTACTTTACTGAAGCTTGCAGAAAGGCAAAGAGGACCAACTTGATGTTGAAGGAGGAATTATGTTCCCCTCTTCATGACTGGAAGGAGGAGAGAGGCAAATGATCAATACTGGAAGGGCAGATAGTGGAAATGTTAAAATTATACCAGTCCTTAGAAGACAAGAGAATCACCAGATTAGAGGAGCTTTGGCAGATCTGACAGAAGGCCAATGACTCTGCTTTGATGACCCCCCACCCCAGGAGTGAACATGGGTCTTAAAGCAATCTGTTCCCTCGGCTCCACTCAGGCCTCCTGAGCCACCAGTCTGCATTTACGTAACTTGGCTCTCTGAGAGTTATTGAGGCCTATGCAACCTGGGGAGCTCCTTCCCCATGGACAGGCATTTCCCAAATATCACCTCCCAGAAATAGCAGTGAGCCTTTTCATGACTTAGTCCTTCAGATTCAAAGAATGTTTGACTTACTGAAACACAAAGAAATGTTGGACTTTCATTCTCTATGCAAGAAGTTCAGGCTTTTGGTCTTAACACTGAGAAAAACAGTATATTTTAAAGACTAATCTTTACTTAAATTGAAACATTTTCCAAGGCAGTATTTTATAAATATATTAATTTTATAAACAAATTATTTTTGTTTCATAAATATTGTAGTATAAGTTTAAAATATAGGCACAGTAGTGATACTTTTAAAAGTAATATTCTTTTTCTAGTGTTCTATTCTCAGCAATCATAAGTCCTAAGTAAAAGCAACTTTTTTTTCCCATAAGTATATTTTAGTTGAAAAAAATGAGGTAATAGATGTCTTTTATAATGCACTTAAGTGTTATGCTTGGAGAAAACTGCATGTATTGATATAATGGATCATTTTAAATAAAAGCTGATGATTACATGGAGATAGATTTCTTTCACTGAGAAAATGGTGCAGAAAGAGTTCTGTGATCAAATAGAAATCCACCTTGGACACCTTTGGGGAACTTCCACACCACTGCCCCTCATCTCTCTTTTTTTTTTTTTTCCTTTTTTCTTTTTTTTGGAGAAGTTTTTGCTATAGGGTGTGTGTGCTTGCCAGAAAGATAGAGACAGACAGAGAGACAGAAAGCGAGAAATCACCCCCCAGGGGGGCTGACCACACCACAGTCCATTCTCCTCCGTTCTCCTATCTCGGGATCTTGAGCACGCATGCACACGCACCCAGCATGAGTTTAAGCCACTGGGTCCGGGACTTGAACCTCAGTGGACTACATGGGAGTCCAGCAACATAGCCATTACGCTAACTGCTGGTCCCTACCCCTCATCTATTTACCCCTCAACATCTAGCACTCCTCGGTGCATAGCTGAGGAGAGTCTCAAGGAGATTTTTCTCTAGTGAATATAAGCATGTGTTATGGAATTAATAACACTATCTTCAGAAATGATTGTTGTCCCCTCATTAGAAGTGAAAGTAAGCTGGTCATTAGCACAGTGGGGGACAGCAGCCAGTATGAGCATCTGCATGCAGGGGTGATGTTCTTCACTGGAAAATGAATGGATGGCAGAGGAGGATTTGAATGGGAAAATGGAACGAGTTTGAAAGGAGAATTTCCAAGAGCTCTTTTACACTTGGAGTAGAAATGCCGGGTTTTTGGCAGGATATAAGGGTCTGAGGCTGAGAAGAGCCATCACAGCTGTAGCTGTCAATGTGAAGGTCATCAGGAAGAGAAAATGTCCCCAGTCTGGACAGATTCCACAGGATAAATTCAGTAGGCCTTTTAGTGGCTAAAGCCCTCTGTAGGTTTCCAGTAACTACTTCACTAAAAGCCTCAGTGGTGACCTCCCTAATTCTACCCCACAGCTTGGGGATTGAGTTGTGCAGAATTCCCATAGGACCTACTTTCCCCAACTGAGAGTATAACTCAGCTAGAGAGACCTGAGGAATTTGGCCTCAATTATCCCACAAAGTCAAGGTGCAGACTTTTTCTTTTTTCTTATTTCTGAAAAGATGACTGCAACTTATGTTCCACCTGGAGACTCTGCCTGTGATTGTTTTTATCCTGAGACCTGCCTTCAGGTTCCCTGTAATGTTGTCAGGCATCTGGGGACAGTTGGACATCTCACCACATCCTCATGTTTCTGAGAGTTGTACTCAGTCCTCTTCTATGAACTATTGAATCTATTACCTCATGGTCCAATGCTTGGGTTTATTGTTGACATTTAGATCTCATGCAAATAACAGGCATTCTCCAAGACTGCCTAGCAAGGCTCTTGAGCCCACCTAACAGGTGTCATGAGATATTCAAAACAGAATGCAGTAATTTTTTAAAGTTTATTTATTTATTCAGTGAGAGAGACAGAGGGATGGAGAGACAGGTATACCCAACAGAGTCTTCACACAGCGATCCACCCCCAGCTGCAGCTAGCCCAGATGAAGTGCATGGGTGTGCACCTGGAATACAGAGTAAGGTTCCCAAATGGAAAGCTGGGCCTTCCCTTGAGAGGCCAGGATTACAGAGTATCAAGTTACTGCTGTGCCCCGGTTGGCCCCAGAGTACAGTATTTGTACTACATCTTTCAGTTTTCACGAAGACCAAGGTTGTGTATGTAGAAAACAGTGATGTCTGTAGTTTCCTACGTTGGTCCCACACCCCAGCATGCCACCTAGAGGGTAGAGCTGCATCCTCAATAGTATATCCATGTATTTACTTTCTCAACAAATGTTTACTAAATTCAATCACTTTTCTGGATTTTTGATGCTAACCTTGAAGAAAGGCATAAATTTGCAGTCGGAAAGGTATTTGACATAGGTAAATGAAAATGCACAAATGATACTGACTTGTAAGTGCTATGAAAGAATATGAATCTAGACAGAGTGAGGGAAGTGGAATATTAAGAAGTAGTTCTAGCAAATTGTTGAATGCATAAATTTTTGTTGTTGTTAATGCTGACAGATAGGGGTTCAGATTAATCTTTCTGCAGGTGGATACCAAGTATTTCCAGCATCATTTGCTAGAGGTTTTCCTTTTCCTACTGGATTGACTGATACCCTTTGTCAAAGATCAGTTGGCTGTATGTTTTGGCATTTATTTCTGGGGTCTCTATTCTGTTCCATTGGTCCTCATGTCTGTTTTTGTGCCAATAACATGTTGTTTTGACTGTCACAGCTTTGTAATATATTTTGAGGTCAGGAAATGAGATGCCACACACTCCACTCTTTTTGTATAGGATTTTTTTAGCAATATGGAGTCTTTTATGATTCCAGACAAATTCTATAATTGTCTTTTCTAGATCTGTGAAGAATATCTCTTGTAATTTTATAAGGATTGCAGTAAATTTATAGATTAATTTGGGTAGCATTGCCATTTTGATTATATTAATTCTTTCAGTCCAGGAACTTGGAATGTCCTTCTACTCTTTTGTGTCATTTTCTTTTTTTCTTTTTTTTTTTAAGGTTTTCATAGTTTTTCTTATAGAGGTCTTTGACTTCCTTGCTTAGTTTTATTCCTAGGTATCTTGTACTTTTTTTGGCTATAATAAATGGGATTACTTTCTTCAGTTCTGTCAGTGTCTGTCTGCATGTTGTTTGCATATTAAAATGCTATAAATTTTTGTCAGTTAATTTTGTATCTTGCTACTTTACTGCATGTATTTATTACTTCAAGGGTTTTTTTTGTGGATACTATTGGATCTTCTATGTATACAAGCATGTCATCTGCAAGCAGTGATAATTTCAACTCTTCTTTTCCTATTGGACAAATGACTTGTCTGATTGCATTGGCTAGAACTCCTAGTACTGTATTGAATAGGAGTGGAGAGAGTGGACATCCTTGTCTTGTACAAGTTTTTGGTGGAAAAGCTTTTAGCTTTTCCCCATTCAATATAATTTTAGTTAAAGGTTTTTCATAGATGGCTTTTATTATGCTGAGAAACAATTCCTTTATGCCAATTTTACTGAGAGTCTTAATTATGAAGGAATGTTGTATTTTGTCAAATGCTTTTTCTGCATCGATTGAAATGATGACATTCTTTTTATCTTTCTTTCTGTTAATGTGGTGTATTACATTTATGGTTTTGCATATGATCAACCCTGCATTCCTGAAATATAGCCTACCAAGTTATGATGAATAATCTTTTTTATATGTTGTTGAATACAGTTGGCAAGTATTTTGTTGAGAATTGTTGCATCTATATTCATCAGAGATTTATTTATTTATTTATTTATTTATAAATATTTTTAAAACATTCTTTGTCTATTTTTTCTGTTACATTAACTGCAGATGCACTTAGTCTTGAGGCAGCTTCTGAACTGAGAATTATATTGTTATCCAATATTATTTATTCATTTTGAATCTTCAGAACCCTATCTCTTGCAACTGAATTACCCCAGAACCTGTGCAGTAGCAGCCATTGAGAAGAACTGAGACTGCAAACCACCTTGGAACCTCCACTGTCTCCCCACTGTTCCAGATGCCACCCAGACCACACAGCTCCCTCCCCACTTCTTCCACCGCTCTTAACCCAGGAAGCTATACAATGGCAACAAGTGAAAAGATCTGAGACTGGAGACGGCCTTGGGACCTCCACTGTTTCTCAACTGTTCCAAGTGCTAATCAGACAGAACCACTACCACTTATCTCCACTTCCATTAGCCCTGGAACCTGTGAAGTGGCAGAGAGTGAGAAACACTGAGGCAGGAGACCACTTTAGAGCTCTGCCTGCTTTTTACCTACTCAAGAGCATTTTCAAACTTCATAGTTTTCTGAAGTGCATGGTGCATCATGACCCCTACTTTTTTCCTCACTTGATGCTCTAGCTCAACCCCAGGTGCACCTGCTGTCAAGAAACTGGGAGGCCATTGGAATATCCCGTTTCAGCAATGACAGTGCATGTTGCAGTGTGAGCACCAGGGATATGGAGGTGCAGAGAAACCATGGCTCACCTCCACCCGCACAACTTTGTAATCTCAGAATTAATATCAAGAAACCATTGGATGAACAGAAACCAATGCAGAGGCACAAGAAATATGAAAACCAAGAAAATATCTCTCACTCAAGAGAAAAGAACAGCTCCTCATCATCCACAGTCAGAACAACAGAACTCATGGAAATGTCAGATAAATTCTTCAAAATATAAATAAATCAAAATATTCATAGTGACAAAACTAAGTGAGATGCAAGCAAGCCAGGCTATGAAGGATAGGCATTGTTTGTCCCCACTTCTTAATATATACCAAGTGTCCACACTCTATCACTGAAAGTAATTGACTAAAACATATAGAAACACAGTATATAGATGTAAATACCAGATATAGTGTGTATGAAAGAGGAGGGTCTGAGAAAGGATATTTAGAAGAAAAATACGGAGGCAAACCATTAATGGCACAAAGAAATGTGTTATTATCTGTTGAAGATATTTTGTAGTTTTATCAACTGTATTAAGGAGAAATGTTCACCTGTTGAAATATCCATTTTGTAAGCCAAATAATAATGTGATTGAATGTATAAAAGAAAATTAAACAAAAAAAGAAAAACACATTGCATACATGGACATGCATGCCCAACACCCCAAAAAGATGGAGAAATGGAGGAGAAAGGATTGCAGTATGACCATGCAACCATGGTGGGTGCTTTCTCATTTTCTCTCTATCTGTCTCTCTCCAGCAAGTGCATGTTCCCTCTGATAGATTAAAAAATAATAACAACCATAATGTATCTTTCAAAATGAGAGTAAATTTCAAATGTCTTCCCACAAAATATGACAATTAAATGAGGTGATAGATGTGCTAATATATTAGTCTAATTTAATCATTCTACATTGTATCAAATATCACAGTGTACCCCCATAAATGTGTACAATTAAGGTTTGTCAATAAAAATAATATTAATAGGCCCCTCCCCCCAAAAAAAAAATCCTAAATGAGAATCAAGAGCAGAGAGACAATGAATTCCAGGAGATGAGAAAGTCCTTTCATGATTTGAAAGAAGAAATAGACACCATTTTTAAAAAAGAGTCAAGCAAAACTATTAGAGATGAAAGATATAATGCAGGAAATTAAAAACTTCCTAGAAAGTATTAAAAGCAGATAAGATCATGCAGAAGATCAAATCTCAAATATAGAAGACAAAACCTATGACCTAGAAAAGATCACCAAAAACAATAATTGAAAGGCAAAAGAATAAAGATAATACATGGGAAATACTAGATACCACTAAACACCCAAACATCCAAATAATTGGTATCCCAGAAAATGAAGAATCTTTCCAAACCTAGAGGAACATTCAAACATCTAGACCCAAGAAATACAAAGGACCCCAAATAGAATCAACCCAAGAAAATCCTTTCCATGGCACATGATAGCTATATTGGCCAAAATCACAGGTAAAGATAAGATTCTAAAAATGACAAAAGAGAAATTTTAAGTTATTTAGAAAGTTTATTCCATCAGGCTAACATCAGACCTCTCAACAGAAACACTACAAGGAAAGCAAGAATAGGAAGATACATCCAAAGTCTTAAAAGGAAAACAATTTCAACCAAAATTCCTTTTTTTGGGGGGGGAGGGGGTTTGTTATAGGGCACGTGTGCTCACCAGAAAGACAGAGATGGACAGAAAGTGAGAAATCACCTCCTGGGGAATGGCCACACTGCAATCCCTTCTCCTCCATCCTCCTCTTGGGATCTTGGGCATGCACACACATGCACCCGGCATGAGTTTAAACCAACAGGTCTGGGACTCGAACTGTGGTCGACTACATGGGAGTTCAGCAACATAACCATTATGCTAACTGCTGGTCTCCAACCAAGACTACTATATCTGGCAAGGTTATCCTTCAAATAGAAAAGAAAGAAAAAGAAAAGATACATAGAAATAGAAAAAAAAAAGATTGAAAAAGATAAGAAAAAATTCACAAATGAACAAAAACTGAAAAAAGTTACCAACATGAGACTGGCTCTTCAAAAAGTACTGAAGGAAGTGTAGTGCCAGGAAAACCAAAGAGAGATACACAGAAATAAGAAAACAAGAAACAACCAAGAAAATGGCAAACATAAAGGTAGGAAAAAGTCCAGAAATGTCAATAATAATGTTAAATGTTGGTGGATTAAATTCTTCAATCAAGAGATACAGACTAGCTGAATGGAAAGAAAGGAGAAAATAAAAGAAACAAAACAGAAACCCTTCATCTGTTTCCTACAAGAAACAGACTTCATGGATAAATAAATATATGGCCTAAAAGTGAAGGACTAGAAAAAGGTATTCCATGCAAACAAAAGCCAAAACAGGTTGGAGTTGTGATACTAATTTCAGATAAAATAGACTTTAAGACAAAAACTATAAGAGTCAAAGGACATTATATAATACTAAAAAAGAATAATTCATCAAAAAATTGCTTATAAATATCTATGTACTCAACTCAGGAGCACTGAAGTACATAAAGGAAAGATGGCTAGATCAAAAAGGAGAGAAAGACACACTAATTTTGGGGGATCTCAAATCTCAACACCCACTATCTCCTTTGGGAAGATCATCTAGACAAAAAAAAAAAAAAGCAAAAATATTCATGTAAGGATGTAAAATCTTATAGCCAGAGTGGAATCTGTGTGTGAACATGTTCTCCAAAGAATATTTGTAAGATAGTTGATCTGTAATGTGGCAGTGTTGTGATATGGGGATTAACAGGAGGCATTTGAGTAATAATGGCACCACTCTCTTACTTCCTGAGTAGATTAATGCCACCCAGTCTATTTTTTTCTGATTTGACAGTTAAATGTGACTTTTATAGGGACAGAAATAT